TCGAAAAGACAAGAAAAGGTAAGAAATTCTAACACTTTCTTTCAATAATTACATAAGTCAGCCACTAATTACATCATTATTACTCATATTTTTAGGTCATTACTAAGCTCTATTTCTTCGACGCGATACTGGGTTGATCATTAATCACGTGACCCAAACCACGTTACCCTCCATTTTCTTTCTCTCTTACAACTCCCCCACGCTTATCTTATGCGTCTCACGCATTAAGATCCAGTCAGGTAAGTCGCTTATGATACTTCTTGAGAAGTCAGACGTTAATCGGAGTCGCGAGCACCTTACCATCAAGAGTTGTAGCTTATACACATTATTTGGCAGGCAGTCGTGTACGTAATATGGGCCAGTCCATTTTAAATCAAACTTATTACTCCTGGAGTGTTCCATAGCTGCCCGATACATCAAAACTTTTTCACCAATGTTAAACTTAGGGAACGCTCATAGTCGCATATCATAATATTTCTTTTGTTGTGATTGCACCTGTTGAATGTTGTATATTGCGACATGTCGATCTCGTGGTAGGTGTTCTATAAGGTCATATGTCATCTCTAGTAGTGTGTTTTCTAGCAAGTCTTTGATTTTATCTGGGTGTAGGGGTAGTTATGCATTACATCCATAGGTCAGGTAGAAAGATGTTATCTTCGTGATAGAATTTTTAACAGTTCAGTAAGCAAATAAAATCGAGAGTATATGGAGATCCCCATCGGTTATGTTTTCTACTGTTTTTGCAATCGATTCATATAAAGTCTTATTGAACCATTCTGTCAACCCGTTAGTTTGGAGGTGATATGGTGTCGTGAACTGATGCTTAATGTCAAACTTATCCATTAGGTTTTTTAGCGTATGATTTTGAAAGTGTGTGTCGCGATCTGATAGGATATATTGTGGGCAACCATGCTGGCATATGATTTCGTGGTATAAGAAATCGGCAACCGTGGCAGCATCAGCTTTTTTGGTTGGCATAGCTTCGGGCCATTTAGTCAAATAATCTATTGCCACAATTATATAGCGATTTAGTCTAGGTGTTCGTAGTAACGGTCCGATAAAGTCAATCCCTATACGATAGAATGAAGCTAAGGCAGGGATTGGATGCAATGGACTAGATATTCGTGCTTTTCCCCTCTTTTGACATGATTCGCAGCTAGTGACATAATCTCTAAAGTCTTCGTACATGCGTGGCCAGAAGTAAGTATCGCGGAGTTTATCATACATTACATCTTTGTTTAAATGCGCTCCTGTTGGATGCTGGTGAGCGAGATATAAAATTGCATCTAGTTCATGTTTTTGCACAACATGTAACAAGTGGTTCTTTCTTCTTCGGTCTCTTTTATACAAAATGCCTTCCTTATATTCGTACGTCTCGCCTTCTTTTTGTAGTTTTCTTTTCTCAGTTGGACTCAGTTTTGTGGGTAATTTCTTTGTTTGTACGTAGGTTTTTAGTTGATTAAAGTATACAGGGTCCATTATGTATATGCCAGGACACCGGAACCTGGGTTGGATTCTGTTCCTTGGATTTTTAAAATTTTCTTTGGACGATGAGTTGATTTGATGCTTCTTGATTAGTGAGTTCTTCTTACGGTGGTTGTTCGACTACTAAAATTTTTTTTTTTCTTTCTTCTCGCAGGTCCTTGTGATTTTTAGAGGCAGGATAACGCGTCGGCGTTATTATGTTTTCTTCCGCTTCTATGTTGAATAGTGAAATTGTAAGGTTGTAGGCATAACATCCACCTTGCTCGCCTTCCGGTCAGCTTCGACGTTTTGAGCCACTGCAACGCCATATGGTCCGTAATTACCACAAAAGGGTTTAGGCCATAGTAGTGGTAGAAGTATTCTACCACCCACAAAATAGCTAGGCACTCGAGCTCCATTGCTGAGTAGTTCCTTTCATGTTTGGTAAGTCTTCGACTAGCATACGCGATGACATACTCTGTCTCTTCTTTGTCTTTCTGTGCGAGGATTGCACCTAGGCCCCATCCTGATGTGTCAGTGTGGACGTAAAAGGTCTTGGAAAAGTCTGGGTAGTGGAGGATCGGAGCAGTCACCAGGTGCCGTTTCAGGGTTTCAAAAGCTCAGTTTTGGTCTTCTTCCCACTTGAATTTAACGTTCTTTTTCAACAGATAATGTAACGGTTGAGCGATAGTTGTGAATCCCTCTATAAATCGTCGGTAGTATGATGCCAGACCGACGAACCCTCGTAACTGCTTTAAGTTTTCCGGGATCGGGAACTGCTTAATCTTGTCAATCTTTGAGTTGTCTGGTCTGATCCCATCTTTTCTGACTATATGCCCTAAAAAATGGATGTTAGAACGGAAATAGGCGCATTTATCCAAGTTTAATTTTAACCCCACGGTTCGTATCTCTTGCAGAACTTCTTGTACGTGTTCGAGGTGGTCCTCAAACATTGCTGAAAAGATGATAATGTCGTCCAAATAGACGGCAACAGTTTTCCCTACGTATCGCACTAGGACCTTGTCCATTAAGCGCTGAAACGTAGCCGGGGCATTGCACAGCTCAAATAGCATTACGTTAAACTCGTAGGTTCCGAAGGGAGTAACGAACGCCGTTTTCTCTTTATCGGCTTCCCTGATGGCTACCTGCCAGTAACCACTTATCAAATCTAACGTGGTGAACCAGTTTGCTTTTGCAAAGACCTCCAGTAAATCATCAATACGTGGCAAGGAGTATGCGTCCTTTTTCGTGACCGCATTTAGTTTGCGGTAATTGACACATAATCTTAGTTTTCCTGCTTTTTTAGACACAATGATGACAGGTGAAGTCCATGGACTTCGTGATTCTCTGATTAACCCTCGATCTAATAGGTGAGTTATTTCCTTTCTGATGAACTCTCTTATACTGGGGGCTGCACGATATGCCGGTTGTTTTATCGGGGTTGCATCTCCTGTGATGATTTCATGGCAGACTTGATTGGTTCGTCCTAATTTCTCTATGGTTTGTGCGAACAAATCCTTCCTTTGCAATAGCAGATTTTGTATTCTTCTTTTTTGCTCGCTCTTCACTTCGTTGCTAACCTCTATGCTATTAATCTTATCTTCGATTGTGATTTCTTCCAGTTTATCAGTTGGCGTTGGTAGTTCTTCCACCTGTGATAGGTACACGACGGGACTGTGTGACTTGTCCCCTGATGTCGTTTCATCTCTTTCAACACTATACCTTTCGGTACTTTCTACCTCTTCGTCTTCGTATTGTAGTACGTCTAGAAGCTCATCTTCATTATACTCTGGTTCTTTCTCTGGTCCTTCCTTATCCCCGTTGAAGATCGGTATTTCCATTGCCTTCTCTTGGTAACGTATGAACATCTTTCTCTCGTGAAAGTTTATGCAAGCTTTGACTCTTTCGAACCAATCGTTACCCAGCAGCAAAGTTTCGTCTGTAGATTCTAGTACCAAGAACGGACATGGGATTTCTCGACCTCCAATGGTGATGCTGATATTTTCGATTCTTCCCAATGCCCTAGATCACGTGCCCGTAATCGTGACGATAGCCGATGTCGATTTTCCTTCAATTGTTAGTCCTAACCTGTCCATCATCTTCTTTGTGATGAAGCTAACAGCAGCTCCTGTATCCACTATGGTTGTGACAAGTTGATCGCGGATTCGGATTCGACACTTCGTAGCAGTTATCCTTCTTTTATACGCATCCGTGAACATTGTTTTTTCTGATATGGTCAGTCGTTTCAGAGCTTTCGCGAGGTTCCTTTTCTGGTCCTGGTACTGCAACATCTGTGCCAAGGTAACATTTGCAGGTGCTGCCAATAGATCATCGACTATATTATACGTTGATTCCATTGCAATCCTTGATGGTCCTTTCTTTTTGCATGGGGCTCTTCGCGGTGTGTTGCTTGGTTCCCTATCATTTGCTGGTGGCGAATCTTTGTCCATTGATGTTACATCTGTTGTTTCTATCACCACCCTGGGTTGGATGACTTCATTTTTCTCGTTCCTAGGGGCTTCTTGATCGCGTTTGGTATTGTTTTGGTTTCGGGTATTGTAGGGCTGGTATTGATTTACTCCTATAAATGCTTTCTCCTCTCCTTCGTTACTTATTAATTCTCCAAAACGGGCTTCTGTTTGTGTTGCTGGTTGCTTATCTCTGTGGGTCTGAGGATTTTGTGCATCGGTTTGTCTAGACGGTTGTTCATCCCTATTGTTTCGAAAGTTTATGTTTTTCCTTGCTGTTGGGCAGTCTTTCACATAGTGTCCCTTCCTTCCGCAGGTAAAACAGGCTCCATTACTTATTTCATTCCTTTTTCTAGGTGCGGATTCTAAGATGGTGAACTTAGCAACCAATTCTTGGATGGTCTGCGATAACTTCCCTACTGTGGTTTCCAGTGGAGTGTTTCCTATACCACCTTCCGTTGTAGTTCTCCTATAATAGTCCCCAGCTTCGATTCTCTTGGCCCCTGTGATGGCTTCTTCTAAGTTGTGCGGGTCTACTACAGATAATAAGAAGACTGTTTTTCTTTTTAGTTCTCCGATGAACATTCGCACTACGTATGCTTGCGGTAACGCATTCTCTGGGTCGACCTTCTTTAGTAGTCTTTTGAACTTGTAAGCGTACGTCCCAACCCGTTTTCCGTCTTTCTGTGTTAACATGTTTAGTTCTACCTGCCATTGGTATTTTCGTTCGGGCGTGACGAAGTACTGGAAAAACAACGATACATAGTTCCTATCCAGGTCATCATAATTATCACAATTGGTAAGTATGGCCTTCTTATCGTAGTACCAATCCGCAGTGATTCCTGCTAAATACTCGGATGCTATGCTAATTTTCCGTTTACCCATCCAATTGTTGGCATTTGCGGCTCGTTCGAATGCCTCAAGCCATTCGAATGGGTCTTCTTTGTCTTTCCCGTAGAAGTTCCTCACCCTTATCCAGTTGTTCTCTCTTTCCTCAACCCAATTATTACCAAACCCAGCTTCTTGGAACATGTGGGCAAGTTATCTTAAAAAAATGTTGGCCTGGTCCAGACTTATCCGAGCGTCTTCTCCTATTCCAACTGTTTTATTTTTACTATCAAGCTTGTTAAACATTTTTTTCTTCTCACCACCACTATTATTTAAATATTAGTATCGTTCACGAAAAAATATCGGGGGGGGGGGGGAAAAAAAAAAACAAACAACATTCTATCTCACAGTCACTACCAAAAATGTGGGAGTGGTACAGCAAGTCAGTCACTAACTGATAGTGAAATTTGTGGAACAGTGGTGTTAAATTTATTTAATGATAGGGCTTTTGATGAGGCGTTAGATTTGACCAAGGTAAGTATTTTCTTTATTAAAAAGTGAGTTTGAATCTTGTTACATTTACTAAATTTTATCTACTAATTTATACCTTTTTCCCAAGAACAAAATAGAAAGAAATCGAAAAGACAAGAAAAGGTAAGAAATTCTAACACTTTCTTTCGATAATTACATAAGTCAACCACTAATTACATCATCATTACTCATATTTTTAGGTCACTACTAAGCTCTATTTCTTCGATGCGATACTGGGTTGATCATTAATCACATGACCCAAACCACGTTACCCTCCATTTTCTTTCCCTCTTACAATATAAAGAAAATTTTTTATCATTTTTTCTTTGGTCTACTTTGATTTAACTATGATCCATCACCATATCCTAGCAGCAATACCAAGCTTGCAAGATAGCTGTTTCAATATTACAGTTTACAGTTACATGGCTGTCAATTTTATTTCAATTTTATTATCAATTTTATTATCGATTTTTTATCAATTTTTTATTAATTTTTTTATTAATTTTTTTATCGATTTACTGCTGATTTTTTACAACTGCTAGGTACTTTTCTACAAGCAACAAAGTATATATTTCTATTGTTTTATTTATTTTTTCACTGGTATTTTTGTAATCGTTTTTTAACTTATATTTAATTTTATCGATATTTAATTTTATCGATTAATATTTTTATACAGGCATACCTCTATATACCAAGGCAAGTATCGATACCAACAAGTGTTTATGTTTTAAAATAAACTTTTATCTAACTGTAATTTTAATATAGGAAACATGATGCAAACACCAAAAAAACAAAAACAAGCTGAATTGAATGGTAAGCATGGGGGAAAATGTCGATAAAATCGATTAATTATATCCAGCAATTTTTTGTCGTTTAAATATACAAATAGCCTCCAATGGAAAACCTTGAACTAAAATTTGTATGTTTAGCTTCTAGAAATTTTGCTGCTAGCTATTGGGGCTATAACAATATTGCCTCCAGTGGGAAACTCTGGACTAATTCATCAAAACTTGTTTCGATTAGTTAGCAAGCATGCAAAAGTTATATTACTATGCTGCTGTTGCCTCCAATGGGAAACCTTGAACTCAGGCAGGGCTATTGATATAATATATAGCAAGCTCTATATTGGTGCAAGTTAATATTTATAACTTGTAGCTGGAAAATCGATTAATTGATTCAATACAGATGCAAGGTTATACATGTATATATATAGCTAATTCTTCTATTTTATATATATAGAAACCTACACTGCTGCAATACATTTTCTGTGATTATTAAAAAATGAAAAATCTGGAGAGTACGATAAGTTTTTACAAGACCCGATTTCTAAATTAGCAACTGTTCGCCTTGCTTTATTTGACTTTGGCATTGATTCTTTTTCAAATATAAATATAATAAATAAACATACTTTATATTTGTTATTTATTAATGTTTTAAATAAATAGAAAAACTGGTGGAGAGAATTTTTACGATTTTTTAAGTTCTATAATAACAATGATAAAGAAATTGCAGCTGCTTTAAAAGCAGATATTAACAGTGCAAAAAAAAAAACAATAAAATACATAATAATTTTATAAGTTGACATGCTATTTAAATATATAAAAGTTAAATTAACGACATTTTATTTACAGGTTAGAGTGAATTTATTAACAAGCAAGTACTTTGCCGATGTCCAAAAAGTTGAAACAATATATCTAGAGCCTTTACCTGATTATGACGAAAAAAAAATAAAAGGAAAATGGATGTATGAAAAAACTAATTATTTGCTTTCCCATGTCCAAGCAGCCAGTACCGAATCTTGCCTCTCTTTTGTTGTAAAAAAAAATAAGGAAATTATAGTTGCAGTATATTGAAACTGGATTGGTCCTGATGTTTTAGATATAATGCAAAGCACTGTGTTAGAAATGTTTCAATTGTGACAAAAAGTTGCACAGGTCAATGGTATTTCAAAATTAAACCAAGGAGCTTTAACAGCTACTAGGTATGTATATATTTTATAAATATATTTAATACATACTTAAATAACATTAGTGGCTATTTTTAGATATTTGTCGACTAGAGAATGTGATATTTTTACACATGTTTTTAATATATCGTAAGAACTACGAGGATCCAATCAGCAATATTTACATGAAGAAAAAGTGGTAGCAATGAATAGTTTGCTGTTTAACTATGCAATGAAGATTTTTCCTACTGATGTAACTGAAAGTATATAGCAAAAAATAGCAGAATATAATCTTCCACAGCTAGATGGCAACAAATATGGAGTAGCTGATAAAGGTATCTCTGTGTTTTACGATAACAAGGAAATTAAACTAAACTATCCTTTAGGCTTATGTGAGGCATATGCAGCTTGGAGATATAGCAAGTTCGCCCATACCAATACCAATTTTTTAGATCATGCAATTATAGCTATTTGTTTGAGAGGTATATGACTTCCTGGCGATCCAGAATTTACATGCCGAGAAGGAGATTTTGATGGAGGCAATTTTTATATGGCCAAATGGGGAATAAAAGTTGAAATAACAGGTATTTTTAAAGATAACGACAGTTATTTAAAAAATACAATATATTAAATAAATTTAATATTTTTAAAATAGGAAATACTCTTTTTTGCTGGCCAGAACA